GGACGAGGTGGAGGAGTGGCAGCACCCGGTGAGTGGGGCGGGCCAGGCTGCCAGGTGCACGGAAACCTGGGGGGCGTTTCGCATGCCCTGCCGATTACTGGTCCTTCTTAGAGAGGTTCCCACGGGAACGGGCCTGTGGGATCACAGGGGAACAAAGAGCCGCCTTGATACTTAGAAAAAGGCCACCCTGAGCGTTCCGCCCCACCGGGCAGTCCCTTCCCCCCCCCAAAACTGGCTTTAAGTCGGATTAGCTGGGTGCCCCCAGCAGTGAGCCAGCCACAGGGCCCGAAACAAGCCTCCCCTAGCGGCCTGCACATGCAGCCTGGCACGCGCAGTGCTGATGGGACCTGGAGGTCTCCAGGCTCTGCCCCTCCTCTGCTGTGTGACCTGGGCGAGGGGCCTCACCTCTCAGCCTCATTTCCTTGTGGACAGTGGGGACTACTACCCACCTGTCCGGTTGCTGTAGGACCCCGCAGAGAGGTTAGTGAATTGCAGCCGTGGTAGCGCCACTCCATCCGCCTTCATGCCCACCAGGAGCACAGGCCCTGGGCGCTGCGGGGCTGGGTCACAGTACAGGCCTCAGACAAGCTGTGGGGGCTCCGCCCCCCGCCTGTCCTCCTCCTCCGCGCTTCCCCATCTGAGGCAGCCCCTGTGAGGACGCCTGTGCCTCCCCTCACTTCATCCTGCCCACCCCCCGCCCCGCTAATCTGTGTGCAGAGGCCTCCATCCTTGGGTTTGTGGAGAAAGTGCTTATTACACAGCATTAAGTGAGAAAAGCTGGTTACAAACCAGCTGTAAACGAAGCTCATCCGTGGGATTCGGGTGGTGATGAAGTGGGTGGGGTTCAGTTATGTGCCCCTGAGACATTGCTGGAAGGATCAGGGTGATGGGGAGAACTCCCTGAGCGCCGTGCTGGGGGGGCGGGAGCTTGGCCACGGGAAAGGAAGAAAGCCGGGCGCCAGCACCGAGTGGCTCTTTCCAGGCGGGAGGATTTTTTTCTTTAATAAATTTTTTCCCCCCAGAAAAAACATGTACAGTGAGCATATGCTAGGATTATAGACAGAAGAAAAGATAGAAAAATGTCAAACCCTGGCATCAGTTTCTCTTTGAGCTGCGGGGACACTCGTTGGCGCAGTCGCCTCCTGTGGCTCATGCTGCACACCTGCCAGGAGGAAGGGGAGGTGGGGATAGGGGGGTCCTTACCCACAAGGGGAACGGCCGCCTCCATGAAGAAAGGTCCTTCTGGAGGAAGCGGCCAGGCCACGGCTCTGTGTGAGACGTGCTCACTGTTGATTCACTTCCGAAGGCCAAGGAAGCCCAGGATGACCTGGTAAAGACCAAGGAGGAGCTGCAGCTGGTGATGACGGCGCCACCGCCCCCGCCGCCCCCTGTGTACGAGCCGGTGGCCTATCACGTCCGCGAGAACCTGCAGGAGGAGGGCGCAGAGGACTCGGGCTACAGCGCCGAGCTGTCCAGCGAGGGCATCCTGGACGACCGCCACGAGGAGAAGCGGGTCACCGAGGCCGAGAAGAACCTGCGCGTGCAGCAGCAGCTGATGGTGAGGGCGGGACGGGCGGCACCGCCTTGCCCTCGGGGCTCCCGGGCTTCCCGCTGGGGCCGGCGGCCTGAGGGCCACGAGGGAGCCCCCACCAGCACCCACTCTCCGGGGAGGGCGGTGGCGGGGGCCTGACCCTGCCTCTTGCCTTGCAGACTCTGTCCAGCGAGCTGTCCCAGGCCAGAGACGAGGCCAAGAGGACTCACAACGACATCATCCACAACGAGAACATGAGGCAAGGCCGTGACAAGTACAAGACGCTGCGGCAGATCCGGCAGGGCAACACCAAGCAGCGCATCGACGAGTTCGAGGCCATGTGAGGCCGCGGGACTGCAGGGCGGCCCGAGCCTGGGCCCCGCGGTCCCATGCAGACTCTGAAACTCTATTCGTAGTTCTCTAATCTAGACCCTCCTCGTACCCAGTTCCTTTAAAGAGAGTAGCTGTTTCAGCGGGAAGATTCCGGGGCTGGGACGGGAGGCTTCCCTGGTTACTTCCCATTTGTATCATAGTGCCAAACGGCCTGATTTTTACTGTTGTTATTATTGAATCACTTCCTGTCTGTGCTGGGGGCAGGGCCGATCGAATCAAGGAAAAGGCCGCTGCACGCCTGAGGGGCAGCGCCGTGCTGGCGTGTGAGAGTCGTGTCGTTGCAGCACCCTCGGCGGCTCCAGTCCGTGCCATATTCCGTCTGTATTTGAAATTAGCCCAGATTGATTGATTGTACTTGATTTCTGTGAAGGATGCATCTCTGTATTTATGTTTTTGAGGCTTGAAAACTGGTCGAAAGCACTCACACATGCACAGTGACTTCCTCGGGCAGCAGCGTCCTCGCTCATTCCGGATAAACAGCACAGGAGGACACACGCTTAGATAAACTCCTGGTTTAACAGTTAGAGGCTCCATGGTTGGGCTCACACACCTGATTAATGATGATCAGCTATAGAATATAATATTTATATATAAGCAATAATATGGGTTTGTAACATTAGTTAAAAAGGGAAAACCTTGTTCTGTATATTTTGTTACCTTTTACAGAATAATAAAGAACATGAAAACCATGTTACATTGTGAGGGCAGTAATGAAGCCGGTTAACCGCTGTAGTCACGTCCCGACTCCCCACATTTCCATTTTCTGCTGGAACTTCCGACCTGAAACACACACACATGCTGCTCATTCAGCTGCAGCCACGGGCGCCCCGGCCTGGGGAGCGCCTGCGTTTCCACAGAACCTCTCTCTCCGCTCTCTGCCACGTGCTTGGAAGCCATGGCAATGCTGGCTCAGCTCTCCCTCCCGCTGCAGGTTCTGCTGATGCACCGGTCTCCCCCACCCCCCCCACCCCACCCTGACCTGCTCCATGGTCAGTGGACAGGTGTGGGCGCCCCAGACGGGGGCCAGGTAAGTGGTTTGGTGGTCACAGTGATTGGGGGGCCCTGCTGGCAACCACGGGAGGACTGGGACACTCAAGCCCAGAGGAAGGACTGTCCCCCACAAAATGTCAGAAGCGCCCCTGCTGGGCAACACAAAAGCACCCCCTTTGTCCCACTCTTAACGAAATCCTTTCTGAACTGGTTTAAGAAGGTATTTTCCTTTACGCAAATAATCCTTTTATGATTGACGCCAGGAACAAAAGCAAGTACTGTGCCCCGCCCATGTGGAGGCCTGCAACTTGTGTCCTTAGCAGACCCTAAGCCTGATTTAAATGGTTGAAATGCTGTATCATCGCCCCGCTGTATAGTCAGACCTTCCACCTACGGCAGGTTAGGCAGCTCCAAAGCCAGTGACATCGCCTGCCCTCGAGGAAACATGCCTCTTCTTTTCATGGTGTCGCCGGCTTCTTCAGGACCGGGGACGCAGCCTGAGTTTTCCTGTGTCCGGCAGAGAGGCAGCTGAGAAGGAAAATGGCTGCCATCCCCGCCCTCCAACACCCTCTGGCTTCTTGGTACTTGCTTATCAGGGAGACGATTAGAGCTAAGAAGAGGGCTAAGTCCACCACAAAATACAAACGAATGGAAGAGAGCGGCAGCCACGAGGAGGACCACCTCTGGGGAGGATGCTCTGAGTTTGGAGGGATCTGCACCAGGCACTGGGGCGGTTGGGATGCTGAGGCCATGTGGTCCCTCGTGCAGTCCCCCTCCTCGGCTTCCCAGCCGGCCACAGCCCATGTATGAGGCCTGCCAGCAGGCCCAGGACCAGGCGCACGCCTTATCTTGTTTTAGCCCCATCCTCTTTGGGAGGTTAAGTTCAGAAGCACAAAGCAACTCCCCAAGGCCATACGAGCCGTCCAGGGTGAGGACACAGTCCGCACTAGTCGCCATCACTTCCCACAGTGGCACTGCCAGGATTTAGCGATTCTACATCATAATGGAGTTGGCACCCTGGCTGGGGGGGCGTGTCCCGTGCATCTAAAAGGTCACTATTCAGTGCCCAGTCAGGGCACGTGCTCAGGTTTACCGCTGGGACCCCGTACGGACGTGCAGGAGGCAGCCGATCTATGTTTCTCTCTCACATGGATGCTTGTCTCCCTCTCCCTTCCGCGCTCTTTCAAATCAATTGGGAAAATGGTGTTTGCTTTACTTTTGAAAACAATGCACCGATAAACTTAACCCATAATCCTGACCCTAACCCTACACTCTTAACCCTAAACCCAACCCAAAACCTGAGCTCTAACCCTAAACCTAAACCCTAACCCTAATGTAAACTCTAAACTCTAACCCTAACCCTAAACCCAACCCAAAACCCAAACTCTAACCCTAACCCTAAACCTAAACTCTAACCCTAAACCTAACCTTAAACCCTAACCCTAGTCCTAACCCTAACCCTAATGTAAACTCTAAACTCACTCTAACCCTAACCCTAAACTCTAACCCTAACCCTAAGGGTTGGGGTTAAGTGAGAATGAAATCTGCTGAGTCACCCATCTTACCGTTAATAGAGGGAGATGTGACTGAAGCTGAGGAAATATTTATAAACACGCCTTTTTCCATGTTCCCGCTCAGTCAGTGAATGCTGACTCGCTATGATGAGGACCAATGCGGTATCCAAACCTAGACTCGGCCCAAATTTTGGAGATCAGTCTTTTTTTTTTTTAATTGATTTCAGAGAGGAAGGGAGAGGGAAATAGAAACATCAATGATGAGAGGGAATCATTGATTGGCTGCCTCCTGCACACCCCCGACTGGGGATCGAGCCCACAACCCGACATGTGCCCTTGACCAGAATCAAACCCAGGACCCTTCAGTCCGCAGGCCGACGCTCTATCCACTGAATCAAACAGGCGAGGGCAGAGATCAGAGTCTTAACACGACTTAGTCGATTCTTGTGGGAAAGGTAAAACACCGGGAGTTTACATGGCTCACCCTTGTTGGTGTTTCCTGTAGGCCCCAGGCCAGTGGTCGGCAAACTGCGGCCCCTGGAGTGTGGCTCTTCCACAAAATACCACGTGCGGGCGCGCACGTACAGTGCGATTGAAACTTCGTGGCCACACTCAAGGGGCCAAAGAGCCACATGTGGCTCGCGAGCTGCAGTTTGCCGACCACTGCCCTAGGCCCATGCCATACATATAATAAATTACCAGTAAATGATGTTCTATTAAACCCGATACCTACCCCCTGACACAGGAGTTCAGGTGCCACCTGACCGCACCGGTCAATTCCTGGCTCCCAGCACCACCAGACAGAGTTGACGTCACATGATGGCTGATCTCCTGTCGCTGGAAGAGAAGCCGCCATTTGCTCTCACCCCCCACCCCCTCCTCCCCTGGGCACAACATGACCCCCCCCACCCCCCACCCCCAACTGGTAGCTCAGCAAAGACGTGTGACAGTCCACAGGCCCCAGGAGCAGTGCCTCGGCCGCGTGACGAGGCTGCGGGGATTGCTGAGGAGTCGAGAGAACGCAGGGAGAGGAAGGGTGGGCGCCAGTGGGATTGGGCGAAGGGGGCCCAGGCCTCTGTTCCAGGGGCTTGGAGATGAGCAGGGGGTGCGTGCTGCTGGTCTGCAGGGCCAGCCAAACAGGAAACCGCTAAGATGCACCATGGAACTGCTCACTGTCCGTCTTCACGGCCATGGCCACCTCATCTTCCGCATGTCCCCATGTCCTTGCCCGTCATCCTGCTGGGCAGCCGCTGCTCAAGTGAGGGGGGCGGGGGTGGGGGGCTGGGCCTGTTCGCAGAGCCTTGCAGGCCCGTAGTCCCCCAAAGAGCCCCCACCCCCACCCCTGGCCCACCGTGATG